TCTGGCAAGGGGCCCCGATTCGACCGGAGGCAGTGGTCGAGGAGAGCCGAAGGGCTTGGAGCCATTAGATTCCAGAAGGTTGAGAGGTCAAACTCATCATTGGATGAGCATGTTGGACTTTGGGAAGGGGAAGGGGGAAGTGAACCACCCAAAAGAATGCAAATCGACACCCGAGGGTATGAGCACAGCCACGTGGGCGACGGTTGGATAGGGTAAAATATATATTAACCGTGAAGACCTCGACTCCCCACTTTACTCCACGTGACCTGAGAACAAAATGAGCTTGTCTAACGCTCACTTTCTTTTCGAAAGGCCTGTTTTTCCAACAGCCAAAAAAGACCCGCACTAATCAAGCGATGGCCGCAAAATGTACCTATCTAGTTTTGGTAAATTCTCGTGCTTGTGGGCTGGCCGTTCCTGCAGCGATTATCTAAGGGACTCTAGCATCACGCTCTACCAACAGAATGAGTAGGTACGTTATGGCATGAGTGCAAACAGCATAGTGCTGGCTCGTTTCACCATTTATACACTGGTGCATCTGCGCATCATTGTTTTGCACAGTAAGTTGTGTGGAAGGCACATCCAGTGCAGCACAAACGGCCAAAATTACACTTGCATACACCACACACGTAGCCGCAGGTGCGCTGGGAAGCCATAATCGGATGCGGTCGGTAATGCACGCAGGTGCGTGCAGCAGCGTCCGTTTGAGGCTCATTGGTTTGACGTCATGAGTGCAGAAATCGATTTGCGCAAATTGTCTGAGCATGCTTCAAAACGTGAGCAATCTCTTGGAACAGCGAGGGAGAGTGAAACGAAATACCATTTACCAAATACCAAAAATACCAATAGTGACGTGCACACCAAATATCTGAACGTTGAAGACAAAAACATGTGTTCACGCAAGACGCCGAGAGAGGTAAAATGCAGAAATTCAGCGGGCACCAATATCAATTGCTTCTGAAGGCTGCGTCGCATAACAAACCCTTATTGTTTCGCACCCGAGGCAGCTGTTACCACTAACAGTCGCTTTTAGTGGGCAAGGTACGTAACGGCGGTTTCATCGTTTATGTAGTATCCTGAACAACATGCCGGAAGAAAGGCCACAGCACTGCAACGCCAACAAGACTCATTCATAGTATGGGGATCCAAGAGGAGGTTTGATTATTGTGGGTAGAATACACGTCTCGAATTTACAGAGCCTCGTCAATTTCCTACCTATGGCCGTCCGAGGTACAAAAGAGAATCCAAACCTTTACATTGTGGCGTGTGAGTGTTGCATCGGGATGTTTGTTTATCACTCGCGTGATATCGATGTGCGTTTATGTCGTCCAGCTCTTGCAACATTGGTGTCTGCCGTCGTTCCGCGGGGATGGGCCAGGGGCGGGCTCAGCATCTAGTCTTGGAGAGATCTAACGCATAAAACAAGGCGGTTTTCCGATATTGTGATGCTTATCACTCTTAAGTTACATGCGTGAGCAATAAGCCTGCCATTATTAATGACGGTTTCATCGAGTTGCCCTACCGGACCTCGTTGCCCTGAGTCCGTCTCCAGCCGACTGCCAACAGTCACTGTGCGATGGGCTATAGACGGCCAACAGTCACTGCGATGGGCGATTGACGGCCAACGGCCACTGCGATGGGCGATCGACTTTCAGCTTGTCACTTGGGCGCCCACAGTGCATCGCAACGAAGACTAAAGCAGATTTCCCTCCCACTGCTCACCGCTCACCGTACCCGTCCGCTCCTGGAATTGGTAGGGTGCTGCGGGGAGTGTCATTGAAAGCACCGTAGCGTCATCCCACCCGCCCCAGAACGCCTCTCCGCCCGCATGCAGCACTCAGGCTGTTCCCCTTCGGCGGCCGCCCGGCGTAGGCCACCAAGCTGTCACGTAGGTGAACTGATGAAGGATGTTGCCATGCGTTGCGCATTGGTTCGCATGCCTACGAACAGCTTGATCTGCCGTTGATATATTGTTTCCCTTCAGGGACGCACTTTTGCAAAATGAGGTAGGGAGGAGAGAGGAGCTAAGTCGTAAGAACTGATGAAATCTACCCAAATAATACGTCAGCAATCGAGTAGCTGACGCACCCCATCCCCAACTAGCGGGGTCTGAAGCACTCCCCCCCCCCATCCGGGTTGAATGGAAAGCAACACCGCTGCTTGTCTTCATGAGAAAATGACGGCATGTTATTTGTGCTGTGAGACATATTGATAACTTTGCCACCGTGCTGTTAATGCTGGTTTCTGTGCAGTGCTGCTTGCTGCTGCTCTAAGGCTGCTTGTTGCGTGGGAGGTGATCTGTATGGCCGGATGTCGAAGTTGGCAGGCGTGCCACAAGAGATTGCGCAGCTCCTGTCCTTGTAGTTAGCTTGTGGCTAGGGAGTTCGTCCACGTCCTTGCAATATAAGTAAACTTGCAGTATGTGTTCGCTCCGCCCACTCCAATGTACGAGGGTCTGCAGGTGCCGCATGCTGCGCTGCAGATGAAGACGGAGAAGGAAATAGCTGCTTCGTATGGCGTAAATCACTCGCATGGCGTACTCGTATGGAGTAAATCACTCGTATGGCGTCCTCGTATAGCGTAAATCACGTTGCGGGCAATATTGAGATTTCAATGTGAATGTTAACTGCCGAGATATTTGTACTGTACCTCCTCCCCAACCGTGAAGGCCCCCTATTCTCGGCACGTGAAGCGTGTCACTGAGTACCGATCGTGAGGAGAGTAGGAGCACAGCTCGTCCACCGAGCAAGGGTTTGTGATGAAGCGTTGGGGTGCGGGGATGGCCAGACCGTCAGGTTCCAGCGCGTCCGAAACCGGCACACACGGAAGAGCAAACACGCACAGGCAAGGTGTGCTGACCGCCGTCTTGTACGACATCTGCGTTCGCCGAAAGTTACACTTGTTGCGGTGTAGCGGTGTTGCGGCGTTGTAGTGGACTGTTTTATGTCCTATCGTAGCAATAAGACCAGTAATTTGTTTTGGCAGCAGTCGAGCTGAGTCATATCGTGTCCATCTTTAGTGTAACTGGTAGCATCTGAGACCAGCGAGCGGCCCCGCGGCCCGTGACCGCGCCTCATTCGCTTACCCGGACAAGTGTTTCGCTAACCACAGCGCTGGCTGTGCTTATCATGCGATTAAGAATTAAACCGTGGCTGTCATCCACCACAGGACACTTATCGTCGCACACCCCACATGTCGGTACTGGCCGGGCATGTGACCTCGCTCCAGATGTTGTTCGGCGAGAGGAATCAGGGCCTGGGAACACCTTGACATGAAATGTCCGTATTTAGCAGGTCAGGATGCAAAAAGCTTCGTGTTAAGGGTCACGCACATGCGACCAAAATTTCAGGTGATAGGGCGCACGGAAAACCTTGGCGGCTCACAGCCGCCAATGTGTTACGCCCGGGCTCTTGAGAACCTGATACATTGACCGCAGTTCTGTTCTTAACGTAGGACACAATGGGCGCGCGCTCCGCCTAATGTCTGTCGCAATTTTTTGAACTGGCTATGTACTTGACGCTACCAGGTCTTCTGCTACCAACTTGACTTAGGCACCAAACAACGACGAACAAGAAGCCTCTAGCTATACGTAAGGTGCTGCCCCTTGCTTCAAGGTCTGTGACATGTCTGTTGTATCTCCGTAAGGATAACGCAGCGAGACAACACGGTTTCAGAACATAGTAATTCACGATTGCAGTTTCGACTGAAGTTTGGAGGCCTACGACGCTTAAAGACAGACCGATACTCACTTTCCCTACCTCAGCTGATTGCGTATGAAAGTGCCGCAGTGTCGGTCAAACCATGACAATGACATGTGCAAGGCTCTACCAGACAGGCGCGACGCAACTGCCGTCTCCGCTAAGTGCGACACTTTGTTGCATTCTGCGGATCAGAACGAGATGCCCGCGATAATTTGTACCGTTTGAGGGCTTTCTTACCGCCTTGGATCAGAGCAAGTCCTCCCTCGTATTCCTCTAACAGGCACACTAGATTTCATTCGTACGTCAGATGAATGGATAATGGATACAAATGCCAAGCGGATGCAAAAAGAGAAAAATATATACGGTCGAAACGGCATAATCACGGCAGCCTTCCTAGCATCACCAAGCTATCGTAAAAACCGTGACACGACCTCGGACGGCGCACAGCTCCGCACCAGGCGTGTGGCGAGCGCAGCGATCGGGCGCGCCCAGTGCTCGGCGCTCGCCCTCCGTCGGCGGTGCGGGAGCGGTCGGCGGCGGGCGCCCCGGCGCGGCCGGCACGCGGCAGCGCCGCCCCCGCAGGCCACTCACCAAACTGCGGTAGTTCATCACGTGGCGGCGGCGGCGGCTGCAGTCGCCCGGCCGCCGGACCCGCTACGGCGTCGTCAACTGGCGTCGTCCCACGCCGGCAGCTGTGAAAACCGTAATCACTGCGGTGCACGTGTCGGGGGGGGGGGGGGGGGAGGCGGCCGTGTCCCTCCCCCCCCCCCAAAGCCGGCCTCGACTGGCCTTCTCGAGGATCTGGGACGCAAGACTCCACGGGGTGCAGCGACAGCTGAAGAGATTGTTGACTCGCGAGCTGTCACTGCAGCAGGTGTGTGCAGCGAGTTGACTGCGGCGGGCGTGTTTCGCTGCTGATTTAGAGCGATTCTGGTCGACTTGGTGCCGATGTTCCCGTTTACACATGTGCGACGTGTTCCTTCACCTCACCGGTCATCGGCCTCCACAGCCGACGCCAGCTGGCTTGAGCCCCTCTGTTTTATCGGACCTCCGATGTGTCGCGCCTAGACAGGCTTTCACCACCAGGCGTCTGGCCTGATCAAACGGAGTGTCACAGGGATATGGCTCAATGTATTGCATCATCCGACAGGGTCGCAGCCAGTGGTCACTTATCGGCAAACGCATTCATGCTCTGAAGCGTTTCTCGACTATCTAGAGGATCCCATCCACTCCTGTGTGTAAAAGTGAAAAAACATACAACATTTGCACCGGCCCGCTTGGCCCATCTGCTGCTGCCGCTCACACCCGGCTCGTGCCACGGCCGGGTAGACTGCCCGTGCTCGACATTCTGTTGAGAACCACCTCGGAGCGCGCCAGACTGGGCCCTGCCCGGCCGCACCGCGTGCCCTGCCCGGCGACCGCCGGACGCGGCAGCGACGCGCTGACATTCGCGGCCGCCCGCGCACGCTCGCCGGCAGGCTGAAGCCGCTCGCCGGGACCGGCGGGCCGAAGACGCTCCACGGAGCCGGCGGGCTGATGACGCTTCGCGGGGTCGGTCGAGCCTCCCGACTCGCACTGCCAGCTCCTCAGACGCGCGAGCAGTTCGGCGAAGCGGGGCCGGCGGCAGGGCGTCTGGTGCCAGCAGTCCAGCATCAGGTCGTAGAGGGCGGCGGGCGCGTCCTCGGGCGCCGGCAGCAACTGGCGCCGACGCACCATCTCTACTACCTCGGCGCTGCTGTACCCGTAGTAGGGCTGATGAAAGAGACACACGGCTAGCGACGCAGGGAATGTGGCTAGAGAGCCGGTTCACTCGCCTTACTTACGAAGTGTATTTTGGCGGCGAGGGGAGGGTGCCACAAATCACACATGAGGTGCAATGAGACGCCAGCGACATACAACACGAAGAGGTGCTATGACAGGGCAGAAGGCGCATATGTCATATGTAAAGTGAAGAGAACGGTGTTGGCCACAGAGCTTGGCCTGATACAGCGATAAATGCAGCTAGCCTCGCCGAGCTTAATTTGATTTCACTCCAGAGTGACTTGGAAAACCTTGGCCAGTGCAGTAATGAGCAACAGTAATCGAATTAAGAGGAATAACGTGTAGCAAATGCTCGAATATCAGAAGGTGTTTCCAGCATATAAAGCGACGATATCAAACCTTTACGTGGAGGGTCGTAAAGCTTGACCTTCAGCAGAGCAGCTGGCCAATAACAAACTCATTGATGAACGGAAACCATCCTGCTTCAGATGCGAATCTCGGGTTAAAGTTAATGCATGTCAGCAAACGTGTTTCGGAAGTTGATAAGGCACTTGAGACCTTCGCGAAAGTACGACGTCCAGTTTTTGGAGGGATATTTGTCAGAGAGCTTGCCAACTTCACTAACTTGTAAGCCGAAGCTGAAGATCTCCCAGAGCAGCACACCAAAGCTCCACACGTCCGACTCGTTGGTGAACTTGCCAGTAGAGAATGCTTTCTGCGGGCATCCACCGCACGGGCAGGAGAGACTTGGTCTGCAGCCTGGCGAAGCAACACACAGTGACCTCACGAGAAGAACAACTGCACCTACCAACCGAAATCGGCCAAACGTAGCGTTATGACCAAACGATGCGGCATGTATTATACGAGGGAGGTTGCGGACTGAGTAAATCTAACTTGATCTACGATTAAATTTCCACTTTAATCTGTCCGATCCTGCCTGGCTTTTAGGCCTTGCAAAACCCTATATTTTTACAAACCACTTATCGCGAATTCATGCAGTTTTCAGTGACAGGACACTCAATGTTTAAGGTCCAATACCTAAGATTTCTCTGTATTAATCAGTTAGCATTTGCGTGCAAGCAATGAATCACGCGTTTTCCAAAGCAGTGCAACATCATCACAATGTCACCTTTCCCAACCGACTAGCATGACATATGTACGGTTTTGAAAATGGCTTTGCCAGAAAGCCTATTCGATTAGCACGAACAGAATCATAGCGAACCGCCTTTCAAGCAATGCTGTTTGTCAGTTAGCCTGCTTGTGGGGCTTAAGCTTGACTGCTACCAGCGTGTATACATTAATTTGTTAGTATCGTTTCTTTTGCGCTCAGATGCCGGCCGGGGAAGGTGTCTGAGCGCACAGGCCGGGGCAGCTGCGGCGTCTGAGCGCACAGGCCGGGACAGCTGCGCCGTCTGAGCGCACAGGCCGGGACAGCTGCGGCGTCTGAGCGCACAGGCCGGGACAGCTGCGGCGTCTGAGTGCACAGGCCGGGACAGCTGCGGCGTCTGAACGCACAGGCCGGGACAGCTGCGGCGTCTAAGTGCACAGGCCGGGACAGCTGCGGCGTCTGAGCGCACAGGCCGGGACAGCTGCGGCGTCTGAGCGCACAGGCCGGGACACCTGCGGCGTCTGAGTGCACAGGCCGGGACACCTGCGGCGTCTGAGTGCACAGGCCGGGACAGCTGCGGCGTCTGAGTGCACAGGCCGGGACAGCTGCGGCGTCTGAGCGCACAGGCCGGGACAGCTGCGGCGTCTGAGCGCACAGGCCGGGACAGTTGCGGCGTCTGAGCGCACAGGCCGGGGCAGCTGCGGCGTCTGAGTGCACAGGCCGGGACAGCTGCGGCCTCTGTTGAAGAAGGGATGATCAGGGCGGGACGCTCTGACGGTCCTGACAGTGACGCCCTGGCAGTCCTGACAGTGACGCTCTGGCAGAAACGCAACACGTAATCCGGAATCACCTCGTTTCACACTCAATTGCTAACAACGTGTTGAGAGCAGGAGGCAACCGGGAAGCAGGAGATGCCGCGGAGGCGCGTCCCACGCCACACACGATCCCGCCGCACCGGGGTCGGCGGATCGCCAGCGGATGACCAGGAAGGGCCCGTGCCGCGCAGGACAGCGGACCAGAGCAGAGGAAGCTAATGCAGCCACCAGCCCCGCGGGCAAGTTCGGAATCCGCGTTTAAGCCCGAGGCCAAGTTAATCAGCACGCAGCAAAACGCCATGACAGGAGGATAACGCCAATCACAGGAGGATAACGGTTCATAGAATCAACACGGACTCAACGAAGGAGCAGTACCGTGACTCGAGCGCTCTCAGTGGACGGAGGCATTCCGCACTCGACCACCGCAGCCACTAATATGAGAGTAGACGGACTGCGACATATAACTAAGGCACTAGAGCCTGCTCTCGGTTTCCATACCTCTTCGGTCATGTCTCCTTGACTCCCTCCTCTTCTTTTCGCTTCATTTGTCAGACGCCAACTAGGTAAGCCGCGTAGTTGTCTGCTCTAAAGGGACTTGCCAGACAGGATAGACTTGCCACGGGCCGGGTGGGGGCAATTATGCGCGATGGAGCTGAGGGCCGGGGTCACGCGCCGGGCAGGTCATATTACATGTGAGGTTACGTCATCAGGACTACAGCGGGGATGAGTTGTATTGTGTACACGTGAATAACTGCCGTGTGCTTAGAAGTAAAGTAGGGATTAAATGAGCCGGCTCCTAGTCATGACCATTACAACTGCAGCCCCCGCGTATACGAAGAGCATATGCTGTGCCTACCGCAGGGATAACAAATACTACTTTCATTTAATTCCATAGCAAAGTTATGGCAATTTCCATTTAGGCTAGCGCCCCCTACCGAACTCACTCGACGTTGTCTGTCTTTATATGCACAAAACAGGCACCTATGCCTTAAAGCTGTGCGCAATGGTTAAAGCAAGTGATTAAGTGCTTGCGTCGCTGATCAACAAACCTCCTATGGGGGATTTATGTAAGCATTATTTCGGGATTCATCAACAGCATTCATGAGATCCCTTGGCCGACCCGACCTCTGGCTGCCAGGATGCTTGACGGGAGCCGGACCTGATGTGCTGACTACCAGGGCCGCTGGTGAGTCATGGGGAAACAAACCTAGTCTGTAACTGAGTTTTTCGTCCATCATCATGGGTTGTATCGCTTGCAGCGTTCACGGAAATCGGTAAGCGATAGCTCACCCCTCCCTCGCGCTCTTTAGACGCGTTTGCGTACTGGGAGGCGGGTATTCCAAATGGCTGAAGGACTCACTTGATTTGTTTCAAGAAGCAATCGTAAGCCCATTGGGATAGCATTAAATCGAACTTAAGTTGCGCGTTGTCATAGCACGTGCCGTTTCGCGCCGGTTAGGCATGCGTCAAAGCTTATACGGCACATCAAAACGATAAAAAATAACGATCATGAAACAGCATCTGAGGCATTCTTCTGTAAGGACCCACAACATGCGTACTAAGAGAAAGTCAGCGACTGGCCAGCTTTCAAATTTTGCTTTCCAGATTCTCACCGCGGTTGGGATATTGTTACGCATTCCAAAAGTGCAAGAAAACCACACTTTCCTACCACTGCAAATACCAGATCTCCCTAATTTTACCACGGACACCTAGGCAATGTTGCCGCAATGTTTTTGTCTTACACACACTTACACATCTGTATTCAGACCCTTTAACAGCTGCAGAACACACCACGCGTGGCTGATGGGAGTGCTGTTTTGCCGTAGCGCTGAGCACTGAGCACTGAGCTTCGCTGAAAACGTGCTGTTTTGATATGATCCTCTTATCGCGCCCGTTGCAAAGCATTTTCCAGCTTGGTGTTTAGTTTATCTGATATTTCTCAAGACAAGGGGCTCAGATAATGCATTTGATGACCACTGTCTTTCACCTTTCTTGCCGCAGCGAATGAGTGAATGAATGAATGAATGACGGCTGCCGGACGCCGGCAGCATACAGCGCGTGCGCGTTTAGTCGTTCTGCTTACAATACTAACCGCCGGCGGCTGAGCCGCCGTCCTGTGGCAATCTCCGGTCCGGTCCGTCCGTCTCGTCCGGTGGCATTTGGACGACGCAAAAATGTGGAATTGCAACTCTCTAGGTAAAGTTAATGGATGGACGTGACAAGAGCACGGGATGACGAATAAATGGCTGATAGACGCAGACAGTGAATCAGTGTATCCGATGATGCAAATGTCGCCACGATCCTGGCTACAGTTTTGACAGCAGTGTGTTGTATTCAGCGCTGTGTTTCGAAATGCCGACATTTCTGACTTGCCTGAGGGTTCTCAGCGTAGCCATGCGTCGCGTAAACTCGTGATGGACACATGCATTGACGACGGTACGCCGAACAACGATTTTAAATTGGGTTTACGCCCCTACATGCCCTGGCTGCTGAGCCATGGTACAAAACTTGAAAAAGGAGAAAATGGGCAAATCCGTCTTGGCGGCGTCTGTGCACGTGACACGTGACACGTGACAAGTGACACGTGCCACTGCAAATCTGACGCCACACGATTGTCCGTCCAATGATCTACCTAGGCGCGTCAGTTTCTGTTTGCTCTGACTGTTATTTGCCGAGATGTGACAACGGTTTCGAACGGCTGCTCGTCGGCTTTGTCGTGAGTCACATTCTAGGGGCTGCTCGGGCAAAACCGATGGGCCTGAAACGGTTCTTCCGCCACGTGCCCCGCCCGAACCTCGGACCGCAGCGGCTCGCGATGGACCTGTGGAAAATCACCTCGTGCGCCTCCGCGTCGTGTCCAAATGTCACCATTCAGCGACCCGCTGTTCGGCTCATGGACGACCCAAGGAAAAACGGGACAGACGGACAGACGGACAGACGCACGCTCAGCGAGTAGTATGGTTAGGACTATAATATGCCATGTTGTGGAACAGCATCAGACACGACATAGGATGGCAGGCGTTTAGCAGGCTCCCGATATCGAACCTGTAGTAGTCGGATGAATAGATGTCCCGGGAGAGGCCAAAGTCGGATATCTTCACCGTCAAGCCTTCCCCGACCAGACAGTTCCTGGCGGCCAGGTCCCGGTGCACGTAATGATGACACGTCAGGTACGCCATCCCTGCAGGGGAGACCCGACCATCAGGCGACCTTAGTCCACTGTTTAGCTGTTATCGACTGGTGCGAGCACTTATGTGACGCGCAGAACCCCAACTGAAGGAAACCACCGCATCTACCCCGTTTTGAAACGTGGTATGTCCACTTGACTAAGCATAATGGCCGCCCCCTCTGCAGCCCTCAAAACAGAAAAACAAACAAATACTGAAGACACATGGTCTCAAGATGGCATTACCCTCTAACATCGATCCACTGAGCCCCTCTGCCGTGACGTCACGCACCGTCGGCCACCTGGGCGGCGATATCAAACAGCTGGGCCTGGCTCAGCGACTCGGTGGCGCCGCCCGGCGGCCGGCCGGGCGCGCTGCCGCGCGGCGAGCGTGCCACCAGGAACTCGTGCAGATCGCCGCCGCTCATGTGCTCGAAGACGAGGCACTGCGGCGCCGCCTCCAGCACCACGCCCAGCAGGCGCACAATGTTTGGGTGTCGGAGCTCGGCCATCAGCTGCCACTCGCGGCGGAAGTCGAGCTGCGTGCGCGGCGCCGCGCCGGACTTGAGCGTCTTGACTGCCACTGGCAGCGGGCTGCCGTCGGGGCCGCGGCCCGCCAGCTCGCCCCGGAACACCTTGCCTGCGGCGACGGGAAATCGGCCACGGCCCGGTCAGCCGTGGCCCATGGACAGTACGCTGCGGTGGTCGGGTCTTTTTTTGTTTGGATCGTCATGACGAAGTGCATTTGTGAAAAAAACATTATGGATATCAATAGGCCAATACTAACAGCAATACTTTATCAAAACAAATATCACAACTGACATTTGTTTTGACAAAGGCATGTAGCCGAAATACAATTGCATCTATCTTCTCCATTCTCTTGGTCATTCTACGAGGAATAAGGCGAATTCTACGGAAATCGTAGCCATTGCCTACGATTTCCGAAGCGATAGTGGTGGTGATGGTGGCGATTACGCTTCTTGCTCATATGGTCATATTGCACCCATGACAACGTTAGATGACTACTGAATGGAGGTGCTTGGGCGAACGGCATTTCAGGCATCACAGCCTGCATTGGGCCGGTCGCTAGTCGCTCACCAAATGCCCCCTCTCCAAGCTCTTCCTTGAAGTGAATCTCGTTCAGCGGTAGCTCCAGAGCCTGCTGCTTATTCTCTGCGTTGGCTGGCTTCTCCTCCAACGGTGCTGTGGGCACCAGCTTGGTGCTGACACCCGGCGGGACCGTCTTACGACGAATGCGGCGACACAGGCAGCAGCATATGCAGATCAGTGCACACAGCACCAGCAAGGTGACTCTGCGAAGTGCGAATCACGTCAGTGCTATTGCCGTCATGATCTGATTTGCGACATGTGATGGATGCGACACACACGGATTTCAAAGTCGAATGGTGACGGGACACATTTTGGTCATTACCGAGGCGAATGACTTGAACACCACCACAGTGCCAAGTCTGAAAAGCGTGCCGGCTGGTGTTTTATATGTAAGCTACCGCCTGCACCTCGTAGCCAGGCAGATCACACTGATAATACACCTAAAGGTAAGTGAAAACCATGATCTCGATGTGTTCACTTGTAGGACATGGACATCAGTAAAAGCACTGACCAGGAGGTGAAAGAGATCCTCCGTTGGTGGCATCTTTGCGAGCAAATGTAGCAAATGGCAAGCAAACCCCAGACGGTCACGACTTATTTCGCGAAAAGCCTGCGCATCTGTGAGGCATCCAAACCAGTCTGCGGCCGGCACTAGCAGTGCATGTGATTCCACCCGAGCGCCCCACAGTCGGGTCGCGCTTCGGCCACCACTGACCCGGGCACGGCAACGCGCCAGATATACCAGAGCAGCGGCCGGGCGCAGCGGGGCAGGCCGCAGCGTTCGGGCCGCGCCGGTTGGCCGCGCGCCGCCGCGTAGCACCACGGCTCAGCACCTAGGCCGTCCCAGTTGCGGCAGAAGCTGTGTCCGCCGCGCAGCGCCGGCTGCCGCTGCACCATGCGTGCGTAGCCGAGCTGGCGACCCCACGGCCGGCAGCGGAGGCCCGAGGCCGTGCGCCGCGCCGCGCCCGCGTACTCGCCGCCGTCACCCCAGAAGCAGGCCTGCTCGGGCCGCGGCGGTACCACCAGCGGCAGCGGCAGCCGCAGGCAGCCGACCGCCGCCGCCGATCCCACCGGCGGCAGCTGCTCGCAGACGGGCAGCGCGATCTTCTGGCCGATGAGCGGGTGCGCGCGCGCGATGGCATACTCGCGCTTGCAGAGCGCGTCGCGCAGGTGCTCGCACTCGTCGCGACAGATCTGGCGCGGTCGCGGCGCGCCGCCACCGGCATCGCAAGGCGGGAAGGCGGCGAGGCAGACGGCCGGCAGCGTGAACTCGGCGCACGCCTGCCGCGCAGTGGGCGACACTGTCAGAATAGTCGACGAAGGGACGCGTGCTAGGGTGTGTGACAAACTGGCACGTACGGCCAGGAGACATGTCGCCGGTGGAAGGCATAACATTGACATAGATAAGATGACACGTAGACGTAAGTCAGACGGCATATAGACATAGGTCGGACGATATATAGACATAGATCAGACAGCATGACCACCTGTGACTTGACCAGGTGTTAAGGAGTTGGTTTCTAAATTTGACCACACAATGCGAGGAGTAATTGGTTCCAGGTCATATGATCGCCTCATGACTTCTGACAGAACTGACGCTTTCACGACCACGCCACGCAGTGGGCCTTCCGTCTCACCTCGGAGAGGTCCGGCGAGCCCTGTATTACGGAGAGGGCCGCCCGGAGCCGCTCCTCCACTCTCGCCAGCGTGTCCGGCAGCGCCACGAACACGCTGTGGTCGTACAGCCGGCCGGCGCACAGGCGGCCGCGATACTGGAGGCACGTTCCCGGCACTGCCGGCGGCGGCGAAGGCGGCGCCTCCTGTCCTGCCAGCCGCCGCGGTCGGCTGCAACGCCACCACCGGCCCGGAAGAGCGCAGTTAGAGCCGGTTAGAGTGCGGTAAGAGCGGCCGGTTAGAACGTGGCCAGAGCGCGGAAAGAGAGGCAGGTTAGAGCGCGGGTAGAGCGGGTTAGAGCAGCAGGTTAGAGCAGCACGTTAGAGTGGCAGGTTAGAGCGCAGGTCAGAGTGCGGTAGGGGCACGGCACAGTTAGGACGGCGGAGCGCGGCGCTGATAAAACGACTCGTGGGGGGGGGGAGGGGATGGGTTCAACCCAGGAGGACGAGGAGGCGTGACTCTCTCTACTGGGGAGAGCGTTGGTGCATGCAGACGGCATTTTATTACCCGCGTCAACTATCGACCACAGATCGCACCCAGCCCCACCCTCACTTCTCTGCAGCGCCATACACTGCGGGCAATAACCAACAGGGAGGACATGTTGGGTGGGGGGGGGGGGGGGGGCGCATCTATGGACAGATCTAACATGAGCCCGTTGTAAGGAAAGGTGCAGATTGACAAAATGTGTTGACTAAATCCAATTCCTCGAGAAATCAACCCCATCTGCATTCACTAGGGAAGCTTGTATTTGGGATATTACGCTGATTTAGGGTGGCATTTTGTACGGAATATGCGTGACACGTATACCAACGACATTCATTCGGAAAGAACGTTCAAAACCAGAGCGGTGCTCAATTCTACGTGAAGTTTAAGTCAACCGCTTACATCGGACACATTTCGCTGTAGGCAAAATTGTAGCCATTGCAATTCAGTTACTGTTCGATATGATTAAGTTCGATAAATGGGTGCCCGAGTCGCAGCTGAGTCATATGTGTCGGCACCTTGGCTCGAGTCATCTGTGAGCCAACCTAACTAGATACGACAGTGACAAAATCCACAGACTGACAGCACGCAGAGAACGGAAATTGGTCAGAGCATGTTTTAAAATGTCAACTTCAGAGCATTTTGCGTTCTTTCTTTGAATAACAACAACATTCTCGGGACCCCGATGTTACCAGGCACTTGATATGCTTAACCCACGGACGTCTTGGAGCACGCAAGATACCTGCTTTATTCGCAGTTAGTACCAAAAGGACAAATATATATATATATATATATATATATATATATATATATATATATATATATATATGCACGAGCACCCGACGCTCCACAGTCCATAGAGTCCAGCGTTCTATCGGCTCGTGTATTTACCACCAGGGGGGGGGGGGTCATCATGATGATGGCGCAATCGTTCCAATTGTGCTAAAATCATTATCATCAGGGTCACCGCCATCATTCTCAGTTTTCAATGTGTTCGGTAGCATGCGTTTGTCCGGAAAATATTATTCGTCACTCGCACAAGTACAAATTTGGTACAGACTCTGTACAAGTTGGATACAAATTGGGCACAGCTTCGATACAAATTATGTACAAATTTGGTGCTTCCTGTCGGTCCCACAAGACTTGGTCCCTATTTTCTAGGATGCTGGACTGCGCCGTCATTATGAGGTTAGACAGTTTCGCGTAAATGCATAATCTGTAGCTACAGTTTTGTATTTTAGCTCACGTAGGCGACAAGGAGGACCATGGGGCACGCAGTGCAATAGCCGACCTCCCTACATGTGAAAGGCTTCAATCATGGTATGAAAATGCCTGCTCGATGCAGTCTACAATGTACCGTGCCAAGGTACTCTGGATCCTTCCCTTTAAATGCCCTCTGTGTTCTATCCCCTGCTCACCTCCTTCTCCGTGACCTGATCCGTCGTTTTCATTGCGTACTGATCTCCCAGGGGCGCCAACTCTAGGGGGAGGGGGCGAAGGGCTGTGTCCCCAAGCCGTCTTTTAACCATTACGGTCATGACGTTGCACCGAGGGTTTACATGAAATGTTTTCTGCCCATTTAGCAACGGGGACGCTGCTCTTAGCTACAATAATGACACCCGCCGCGGCAGACGCCCCAGCTCGGCCAGCCTGAGGCGGCACTCTGTCCGCCGCGGCAGACGCCCCAGCTCGGCCAGCCGGAGGCGGCATTCTGTCCCCTGCGGCCAATGACCTTTGGCCCAACTCCGCCACACGCCGATGGCCGGCTCACCTGAATTTCGAGGCGGTGACGATGCTGCACGCCGACAGGCTGACCAACAGCCACGCGCAGAAGAGCGCCGGACCCGCCATGGCGCAGCGCGTGCCCGCCGCCGGCGCGCCCCGGACGCCCCTCAGCCGGCGCGTGTCCGGCGCCAGCCGTTCCCCTGCCGCGCCCCGCCTGGCACAAAGGCGGCTCCCCCGGGCGAGTATCGACCGGTGCGCTGCAGGGGCGCCGCGAGCCGACGCTGGGCGCGCCCCTGCCGCGCTGGTCGCCGCGTGCCTACAGAACAGCCGCCGCAGCCGCGCCCTCAATTGGCCCTGGTTGTCGCGCTGCTCTTCATTGCCGGTCCCCGCCTTTGGGAGAGGGGAGGGAGTGGAGCGCGGTGTGCCGTGGAATACGTCAGTGCATGTGAAGGGTGAAGTCAGAGATGGTATTTTAGCTGGCCGAAATCAAATTATGCCACTTTTTTGTTCCGTTGGCTTAAGCGACATCTTATTAAATAATTCCGTCTTGCAGGTTGTACCTGTTTTCATCGCGGAACGTCGTGCAGTTTTTCAAGTCTTCCAACTGGTTGGAATGATAAAGCTTCGCCAAGCCGCCATCTGTTGCGAGTACGACTCGACATTTAGTTCATTAATTGTCACCAGATTTATCGTCATCCTTCATTAAAATTATCTGCATACATCACGCGTGCGTCGGCCTCCAAATTACTTTTTCGTGGATACTTGACCACAGTAGCATCGTCGGCAATGAGTATACTGATCAGGCTGCCAATGAAGTCCTGTATCTACTTCCCATTACTAGTCTTCATCCGGTTCTTGAGTTTGCAAAATTGTCCTTTCGTCGCTCCATCTCGAAAAATTGGATGCTGGAGAGTCCAATGATACAGTAACTAAGCCTTTCAAAAGCATGACATCTATTCAAGTGTGCAGTTTTGCAACTTAAGTTGGAAGGATGCGTACTTAAATAGCCAAACTTGTCACCAAAACACACTAAAAACTCGTTTCTCCCAGAATTTGACCCATCATCTTCTCAAAAATGGGGAAGGGGCTGAAGCCTTCCTCCTCCTCCATCTGGAAAGGAAACCGCACCCCACTCGTCTTCAAACATGGGGACCTCCAAACAGAAAGCATTGGCAGGGTTCGCATGGAACATGTCTATTTTACACATTAGTTAACTCACTTTTTCACCATGCGTTCGACAGCTATGAAGGCCTTGCAACCTGCCTCTCACTGCACAGCATCTTGTTATCCGATTTCTTTTCAACTGATGACTGATTCATTCGTCCCAGCCACGTCATCAGTAGGGTGCAGGATCCGTGTTTTGACGAATACCTGCTTGATTTTCAGTGTTGTCATCATAAGTAGGTTGTGAATCCTTGTGATGTAGTGAGAAGCAAAAGAAGTCCAATCCTCACATATCTACCCGTGACGTCATGAGGAACACAAAACTTGCCGTTGGGATAATTTACCCCGCCTGGCAGCGACGTTTCGTCAACTGATAAGCCGGTCCTCATTACAGACTTAGCCTCTCCCCTCCGCAAAACATTGTCGGCCGAAAGGTAAAGAACACTGGTCTGCATCATACCTGTATCGTGACAACTTAATGATTTTGTTCTTCTGAATTTGTAGTGTTATTAACATTCAAGAACAACAAATTTATTCTATGGTATATGAGGAACAGCCTGAGCAGATAACCAGCAACGTTCATGGACTTAATTTTATTAGTTCATATTAAGCTGGACCACATTGCTGGACCTGAAACCTGGCACACATTGCTGGACCTGAAAAAGTTGGGAGTGCGAGCAATAACTGCTGTGAAGAACACCTGGTAAGATCCTGGTTCTTGCTGGTTCCTGGACATAATTTTAGAATGAATCTTGGTTCTTGCTGAAATTGATTCCCCATCTTAAGCCTGGGCCGGATCTTGGTTCTTGCTGAAATTGATTCCCCATCTTAAGCCTAAGCTGGATCTTGGTTCTTGCTGGATCACTATGCATATTCCAGGCTGGGTCTTGCTACTTGCTGGATCCCTCAACATAATGCCAGGCTTGATCTTAGTTTTTGCTGGGTCCGTATGTCCAATCCAAGCTGGATCTTGGTTCTTGCTGGTTCTTTCAGTTTGGTATCAGGCTGGATCCTGGTTCTTGCTGGATCTTTCGTCTTTATATCAAGCTGGATCCTGGTTCTTGTTGGATCTTTTGCCTTACTGTTTAGCTGGATCCTGGTTCTTGCTGGATCTTTTGACTTGTTGCCAAGCTGGATCCTGGTTCTTGCTGGATCTTTCAACTTATTGCCAGACTGGTTCCTGTTTTTTTTCCTGGTTCCGGAACCAGGAACCAGGAACCGGTTCCCGGGAAGAAATCTTGGGAACCAGGCACAAGTCTAGTTACCATGTTACGTTGCTGTAATCCAACTGCTAACAGTAAGTCACTTGTAATGAGCAGTGGATGAAATGAGCATGAACGCGAACATGCACGTACAGACTAAATTATTGAATTATGCATCTATTTATTTGAAATCAGCTGACACTCAACGTAAATACATGGCTTTTAGGTGCCACTTGTCAGAGGTCAAACAGTAAACCCAGCAACGAAAAGGGATAAGGAATAAAAACATACAAACACATGCATACAAAACAGTATCAGACAGGCCTGTTGCACAAGGAATGACTTGGCAGTGCGCTTAAAACTTGTCGGATCCAGTCGTCTGACTCCCACTGGAAGCTCGCTCCGGAGACAGGCTTCCCCATACACGAAGGACCCCTGCCGCCTGCGCACCGTCGGAGGTCTAGGTTTTGGTCCATGCGAGTAGAACGGTCGCAGGTCCGTGCGTCGGCATGTGTTTGAAGCAGACGGGCACGATCTGCGGGCTCACCTCGATCACGTCACGGGCATCGTGCGCAGCAATAACAGTGTAACACAGTTGGCGAGGTGTGGCAAAGTGCAGGTCATCCCAAGCGCGAGACACGTTGTCGTATTTTTGGAGGCCAGTTACTACTCTGGTAGGGAAGTAAATCACTTTCAGCAGTCCGGCATCGCTAGCAGCTCTTCCCTGGCCATAAAGTGCAATGCAGTATCTCAAGCGTGAGATGACTAGACCCTGCACGATGGCCATCAGTACTAGTGGGAGGAAATGTCTCACGTGGGCTGAAGGGTGGATCTCTGGAAGACTCCCATCGTGATGGGAAGGGGCTTGAAGACCACTTTATCAACAAAAGGAGAGGACTGGCCGGAAATTACCAGAAATATAGGACAACCAGGCCTCGCCAATATTATGGAGCTGAAACTTCAAAGGTAGTCAAGAGTGAGGAATGACGTCGACGTATCTACTGAGATCCAAGAGGCATTAAAGTAAAAGGCGGCCACAGTCCATTTTGGAAAAGATGCGGCTCGCCACAGTGAGGAGAGCAGTCTCCGTGCCATGGCGGGGACTGAAGGCATGCTGGGACGAAGACAGACAGTGGTTGTCGGACATGTAAGTAAACATTTGGTGCTATACCACACAGCTCGACCATCTTGGCCATGGCAGGGATCATTAGAAAGGAAGGTGGTTGGAGACCAGGGTTGGATCGTTGAATTCGAAAATAGGAAGAACCAGGGAGGGCTTCCAGGAATTGGGAAAACTGGAGCAAGTGAGGCAGGTCTCGATGATATGGAGATGAATGGGGCCGGTGGCGTCAAAACAGAGGAGCTGGATACGAAAACAAATTTAATCAGAGCCACACGCTCCAAAATGCTTCATGGAGAACATGACCTCGCCCAGACGTTAGTGCCTTCACCGAGCCTGACCTGACGTAATTCGCTACTCACACTCGCTGCGGTCGGAGCAGCAGCATATCGAACATGTGAGATGCGGGCTTGTCCAAGCCAGGGAAGTGGAACCACTTATTGTAGATCTTGTTGGGCACGGACTCGGCCACCTCCCACCCGCGCTGGCGCAGCCGGACCGTCAAGTTCGCCACTCGACTGTAGAACTCCATTTCCGTTTCGGGCGCCTTCCGAAAGTGCACTTCCATACCGATCTGGTCGAACTTGTCCAGCGCGCGCTCACCGCGGGCATCCAGCAGCTGCTGCGAGAGCATGTCAAACTCGGCGCCTTCGCCGTCCACCTTGAGGTAGGAGAGCCGTGGCCGCTGCGCGTGGCCGAGCTCGCGCACCACCGTATCCAGCGTCCGGATGCGCCACCCGTACACGTTAACGTGGTCGTTGCGACCGATGCCCACAGGGTGGAAGCGCACGCCGCTCGGGCGGCGCTCGGGCGCGGCGCCGATGGACGGGTCAAAGGCGTGCACCTCGCAGCCGAAGCGCGCCATCGCGTCGTCGAATGACCAGTCGTCCTTGATGCCGAAGGAGTAGACGACACACGGCCGCGTCGGGTCGGCAATGCTGAAGCCGGCGTCAAAGCAGACAGGCCGGTCTCCCTCCAGAATGTGCGTCTCGATTTGCGACGATAAGTACGGCTGACCGCCGAAGGTGGACTGGCGAACGCAGCGCGTGGTCGGCGTGGTCGCCCACTGGAACACGGTGCGCAGAGTAGCCTTCTGCTCTTCCGAGAACGCCGAGTCCGGTAGCTGGGAGGCCTTCCTGCGGAACAGAGGAGGTGAGAGTTACTCCGCAGAACATTTGACCCCGATATGGGCGCACGGACTCACGGTTGAGGTTTACTGACTCACAAGTGGGGCAAAAGACTTGCGGCCTAGTTCAGCGACTAACGATCGTCACACGCAGCTATTTTCTCCCAGATGACAATGGGGATCATGATTTACATCTGATGGCACTGTACCCCAGCGACTATCGCCGTCTTTCCTAGCATATGGGTGCTTCAACGCAACAAAAACAACTCCAGAAAGTGTATCTTGATCTCGCTCGAAACTAGGATATGTAAATGACTAGCGAACACGTGCATTGTCGTCTTGCCCATTGCTCTGTTGTCATTTGAAATATTGTGAGGTGGGAAAGGTGTACGGAGCCCAAGCCCTTGTGTCGCGTCCCTAAATTAATTGCTCAGTGACGTTACGTAGGTGGGCATCTACCTACTGACGCGCATAGCAATTGCCACTAGTAAATGCTAATTCCTTTATCTGGAAAGTTTGAAGGTACGTTTGTGAGCGACAAGCTTATAAACCAACATATTAATATGTGATCAACATCGGGAAAAAAACTATCCGAAATGAAAAGTATGTATTTGCTGCTTGGTTGCGTCTGGTATTTGGGGACTTGAAGGAATGTTTCACATTTGAAGATATTCAAGCATGGACCAGGTATGATGACACATGTTCTCCTTTAACTACACTTTATAACTATAAGTATACTTTTAGAGTGGGAAAGACTGCTCTAGACAGCACAATTCTCTGTTTTAGTAAATATGTTCCTCAATGCGCCATGGTTTCATTCGTTATCGTACCTCGCACAACATTGATTGAGAGCCAGTTGACGGATATAATCTGGAAATCGCGCTCAGAACGCCAGATACGAGCGCCTCGACAATGATTTTTTCTTGGCTTTGATCGCTGCATGGCTCATGAAATGATATGATTTGAATGACGTTATCATGACGCCATGAATGCCAAGGTGACTTTAAAGTGGTCTTCCCGATATGCCTTTCCCCACTTTGGCGGATGTGTAGGTCAGAAACTAGAGGGGCTTAGATCTTAACAGGGCAGGATTTGAACTGCAACGAAAGGTCTTCAACATGGCTATTTCAGCTCAAAACCACATATAGATGTGGAACAAACCCCACATGACGGTGAAACACTTCGAAGGGAATGATCCACATTTCAAGATATTGAAGCAAACATCCGATATGATGAAATAAGCTCATTTATAGCAAGTGGTATGTTTTTAAGAGGAACAAGCTGCTGTCAATAAGCAATTCCTCTGTGTAGTAAATATGCTACCCAATACGCCATTGTCTCATTACGGCAGAGTTCCTCGCACAACAATGGTTGATAGTTAATTGACGGCCGTTATTTTTGGGAAATCGCACTCACGAACACCATGTATAAGCAACTCGATAGTTTTATTTTTATTGGCGTTGATCGCCGCATGGCTAATGCAGCGGCCAGGATTGACTGACGTCCCTATGGTGTCATGAATGCCCGGGTGATCTTTAAATAGTCCCCCCGAAAGTCTGCACATCTTCGCGGGCGTGTAACATGGAACCTAGCGAGGCTTAGGCCTTGAGAAGATCAGGGCTGTGAACTGCACCGAATGTTCTTCAAGAAGGTCATTTCAGCCCCAAACCCCCTACAAACGTGGAACACCCCCTTTGACGCCGCACCCAACACTGCGCGTCAATGAACATCGCAATCCGTTACACCGATGGCCGCGGGAGACTCTAAAGCGGTTTGGTCACACTCGAACTCAGAGCTTCTCACAGCCATCGTGAGAGAACGCTCCGCTAACAGCGACAGTCCATGCCTCACCAATTGTATGAATCTATGCACGCAACGCCATTTCCCAGCATAACATTAATGTCTGTACGCGGCGTGCTGCTGCCGTTTGAGTTTTCGTCATCCGCTGACCCAAAAACTGGTCCCGCCCCGGTAATAGGCAACACGACGAGAGATTCTCATCTATTGGCGCGGAGACAGCAGCACACACCTGTCACGTCACCTGGCGGACGGACACGGGCGACGCGCCCGGCCGAGTACAGACCGCCGCTGCACCGTTACGCGTGCGCACGCTACACTGGCCGACCGGCGGGCGGCCCGACGGCCGTCCACCGCGCAACAGGGCCAGGGTATATGCCGTGAACGGGGCGGTCGTGCAGCCGGCTCATCCGACGCGTCAGAACGGTGTAATCGCCGGTGCCGACGCGTTTGTACTTCCAACGACTGGCTCTCACTTCGTCCTTGTCACTCCGGCACACCAGAGCGCACGACTCGGCACGTTGCCATTCCGGTACACCTGAGCGCACGGTTCGGCACGTTGTCACTCCGGTACACCAGACATCACCGCACGCTCATGTGAGCCACGGAGCTAGGATGAAGCGGGTGACCGGGACATTGCCGGGATGGCATGTCCGGTTTAGCACCATGAACGGCTGTCGCTCCGTACATGGCTGTGCGCGTTTAACCACGGTGCCCCATCTCCACCCCTAGACGGACGATATTATTTTAACGGGGCGAAGACGGAACCAGATGCATTGATATTACAGTCAAATTGGCAGTGATCCCAAGCAACCAGCGAATTACATTGGCAAGGGCCCACTGGATAACAACCCTGGGAGCGCTCCGCTCAGGCGCCCCAAGCGCCTGGGAGTTATCTCTGCCGTAACTAACACACACAGACTTCATGCAATCGGCGCCCCACGGCATTCACTCCGAGCATACACATCCGCTGGTGACCACGCCACCCCACTCATTCTTGGCTCGCACATGAGTCGAAGCCCCCTCCCCGCTGTTTTATCCAAAGTCTTGACATTACAACAGGTACGTCAACGCCAATGCTCGTTAAGCTAGACTAAATTAAGCTATCACATTCCGCAAATCCAAGAAAAGTTACGTTTAAGCCCTATTTAAGATATATCAGATCAACATGTCAGCTTGGCACCGATGCAGCCACTGGACCAGCATCAGGTGTCCAAAGCTGGGCGACGACTCGTTCCCTCGCCTGACCTCCAGGGTGACGGCTCCCTATTCGGACGACAATCCCCCACTTCTCATCCATGGTGGGACGGCGGCCCACCACTCCTCCGGACCACACCCACCGCTCGCAGCTTTCCGCTGTCGCGCACGCGCCTAAGGCAGCACCTTGTCCAGTACGGAGGCGTCGCCTCCAACGCTTCTGCGCCCTTTCCTCCCGCCTGCCGGACTGAGCTTTGCAAGGCACCGCCCACGGCGTGTCCCTCAGAAGCCTAAAGGTAGACAGCGCCTCCGATGGGACGGTGAAGCCACTCGCCAGACAGCGAGCGCCCGGCGTGAGCTGCGCTCAAGCCTTACGGTCTCTACAGCCGGCGCACTCCGGGGACTTGGCCTGACCGGCCTTTCCGGTGACCCAGTCGCTTGTCGCCTTCATTATGAACGTCAGTGGCGGGACCTCTATCTGTCCCGAACATTCCACCATCAAGAGCTCACAAGGCCCGGCGCGAACCACACCAGAAGAGAGCAGACTGTGTCCTATTCTCTCTTAACGCATTGCACACCAGTGGATAGACCCAGCTACCGCCGGCTTAATCCGGCATTCCGGGCGGTCCTCACTGGTCCTTGGTCATACCATGACAAACGTCTCTTCAGGTCAACACACCTAAGGTCATGTGAGAGATTCCGTGCCTTCGAGTCGCGCTGTCCATCAAACATTTATCTGCCTAAGAGCAGGACTGCGATCGTCTGGCTTCTTCTTAATCCGAAACATGCCCCAGATGTACTGCTCTGGTGCGCTCCGCGTTCATCGCTGTTCGCGGATGCGAACATGCGATCTTGACGCGGGCCGATCGGCTGGAACGTCGAGCCGATCCTCATTCATCTCTCGGCCAAATGGATGGGTTTGGTGCGGCGGGGGGCGGGGGAATTCCAGACCGTGGCCGGCTCGCTTGCTGTCCCACACTCCGCCGGAAGGCCCCACCGATCGGGTAGCACGGACGGGTAGCACGCGAAATGAAAAGGATGAAAACGTATACCTACACAGTGTACACGCTGTTTTCGCCTACGCACATTTTCTGCCGCCTCGGTCTACAAGCGGTTTTGTTCACCACCGTTCCACAGCCCACTGCGTCTGCTGGTGACGTGCACTAATCGTATGCAGAAATGTTGGCAATCATGGATGGCCTGCACAATCCAACAACAAATACAGACATTTCATGCTGCAGGCATCCATTGATAGTCATTGCAAACAACACGGCGTGTCTAGTAACCGGAAAAGTCCATAAATGGAGAGGCAATGAAAAGCGCATAAATAATTTTCCAGTGGGGGCATTACGCAACACTTTTCGTCCAAACCTCATTTTAGCACGTCACTGGAGTGTAAAGTTAATTGCGCTGCACAAAACAATGTGAGGATGCTTGCAATCTATACATTTCACACGCTTACCTTCATTTTTAAATCGTTGACGTCAATTCAGAGACAAAGTCATACCAACAAATACCGAATAAAGAGATCGGGCACGTGCTCCCGATGCCTCCGGATGCCGATGAAACATTTATTCAGAGACATATTAATGCGAGCAAAAATTAAGGGGGAAGGAGACTATTCACCATGGGTGGCGGTGGTAGTGTGACACGCTGTAGATTATGGGCGTTTTTGAGCTAAGGGGCGGGGCAAACGCATCCTACTTCACCGCAGGCCACTTCGGAGGACGGTGCTCGTGCTTACGCGACATGACACATTCGGCTCCCGGATCACGGTGGCCGTGCAGTTCACCACTGGTGACCACTCACTTGGTGATAATGACGCCGCTCGGCTCCCGGATCACGGCCACGCGGTACAGCAGGCGGTCACGCAGCGTCTCGCCGGGGAACAGGAGCAGTGCCTGCTGAGCGGCCCAGACCAGCAGCGCCACCAGCAGCAGGCCTCGCCAGGTGAGGCGCCTGGCCAGCCGGCACGCCGCCGACCGGACCCTCTCTGCGGCCGCCATGACGCCGAGTGACGGAGGCGGGCGGCCGGCCCGCGCCTCGGCGGCCTCATTGTCGGTGGACCGTTACGTTCCGCTCAGTCGGTCGCAGAGAGACGTCGGGGAGGACGCCACGGCGGCGGGTGTCGTGAGGACGGGAGGAGGGCTTGAAATGCCCGGCAGTGTCAGTGTGTCAAACGGACCGAGGAGTCTTAGGTGTCATTAGTGCGTCAACAACGTTGACATTTCGCGCCCTCCCAAAAATGCCCGGCCACTTGTGTTCAGTCAGATTGTCAAGATTTTACTTCCCTGATGAAACCCAGGTTATATTTACCATTCTAAATGCAGACTGGAGCTTCGAATCCACGCTGTGTGGCGCCAAACATGGCCATCTAACTGCACACAGGGTGGAAGAAAACAGTCGCGTGATGGCACAGTGCGGCAACTGTGCGCACTAGCTCAACTGCACCAGCCGTACGCGTCGTCATTGCCGTTTTACGAGGCACTTCGCTGCTGAAGCTGTACAGCGTCGGGTGTCTCTCATCCTAGAACGAAGGGCGGACACCACGGAGAATCGAACCCGTAGTCTCTGGTTTCCCAAGTTTAATCACAACACCATGGGCTCTCCACCAACCGTATGAGACAGAGTATGATGAACTGGTGCCATGAACATGCACCGAGCTGAGTGTGAATATACAGTGAGATGTTCAAAACCCTTTCCCCTGTTACACTTCGGATGCTCTTTGATAATAATTTCGTTGCTCCCCTTCATTCGCAACGGAATTCACGGACGGCCCCAAAAGTGACTGGTTTTGCAAACTTGCACGCGTTACCCACAGATTGTCGTCAGATCTACCAAATGGCCGGTGAATCTTACTCCAGAGGTGATGTCCTTTCTTTTACATGTGTGTGTAAAAGAAAGGGATTCCGCTTTTACTTTTGTATGTTGTGGTACGTCATGATTCGGCCATATCGTACCAAGACCTCAATAGTGAAATGATGAATAGGTACATAGTGACGAAAAAAAAAACGCTTCCGATATTTTTATTACTTATTTCAAATATTTATGACCACAGCATAAGAGCGATTGACGTGCACATAAGTCGCAAAGTAGATCACATAATCAGATGTCTGGGCACGTTCCGTGGAAAAGGAGATCAAATCTCTATGGCTTAACGAAAAATGCTTCGCAGATTTCCTGGAAAATTGTACCAAGTCAAGCCATAATGTTGCACAGAAATGTCCCTCCTCTCTTGTCGTTTTCTACCAGGCTGCCATGGTGCTGCAGGGGCAGTGGCTCACGTCATTCACAGCTGAAATGTGCAGGCATTCAACACTAGAAGTCATGTGGACCCACAACGTAACCAGCCATCCCGATACCCAATCATGAGTACGTTCCTTTCAAGACGGCTAGTTATTGACGTGTTTCTTTGATGGACAACAAATGGGCCTCATCATGAACAGTCATTTGCATGCGGAACATTTCACAGCCCTCTTGAATGTTCGTTACCATTCCAATTTCGCCATCAGCGCAGCAGGATTTCAGCCCCCTGCCTGTTATCAAATTGATCGACCTCATTTAGCTGATTGCCGTGAGTTACGGCACAGGGCACAGCGAGGGAGCAGGAAATGCATAACATAGCTGTAAAGGCAGGGCTGTGCCACCAGTCGTCGCGCAGGTGTCGCGATAGAACCCCCACAGCCAGGCCACCTCACGCCCGGCCTGGAGCTGACCAACCTCGCGCAGCAGCCGGCTTGCTCACTCTTCGGTTCCATCCGATTCCGAGGCAGGCGGCTTCTGCGCGATTCGTTTGTCCCTCACAACGTCTCTTGCAGCTCACCCCCGCACAGCCTTACTCCGCATCTCATCGCAAGTTCCGCTCGGCACTCTCCTTTCCACCGCCCAGCCAACCGTCCCATAGCCCAGCCGTCCGTCCCACTGCCGAGCCGTCCGTCCCACTGTCAAGCCGTCCCACTCATCTCCACCATGCGAGGTCGATCGCTCCGCCCACCGCCGCCCCCCTGGCCGTCCCCGACCGTGCAAGCGGCGCTGTGCCTCGCCGTGCTGCTGACGGCGGTGACGGCGACGCACCTCTCCGGCGGTGACGTGGCCGAACAGCTACCGGCGGCGGCGGCGACGTACACCTCGGTCGATGACGTGGTCGAACGGCTGGCGGCCGGCCAGGTCGGCCTGCCCCCCATCGCTCACAAATTTCGCCAGGTCTTCTGGACGAACGACGGCAGGAAGCCGACCGACGCGATCGTCGGGGGCGAGAGGAGCTCGCATCACTGTGAGTCACCATCATAAAGGGCGAAAGGAGCTCGCATCACTGTGAGTCGCGACCGTCAGGGGCGAGAGGAGCTCGCATCACTGCGAGTCGCGATCGCCAGGGGCGAGAGGAGCTCGCATCACTGTGAGTCACCATCATAAAGGGCGAAAGGAGCTCGCATCACTGTGAGTTGCGACCGTCAGGGGCGAGAGGAGCTCGCATCACTGTGAGTCGCGACCGTCAAGGGCGAGAGGAGCTCGCATCACTGTGAGTCGCGACCGTCAGGGGCGAGAGGAGCTCGCATCACTGTGAGTGGCGATCGCCAGGGGCGAGAGGAGCTCACATCACTGTGGGTCGCGACCATCAGGGGCGAGAGGAGCTCGCATCACTGTGAGTCACCATCATAAAGGGCGAAAGGAGCTCGCATCACTGTGAGTTGCGATCGTCAGGGGCGAGAGGAACTCGCATCACTGCGAATCGCCATCGTCAGGGGCGAGAGGAGCTCGCATCACTGTGAGTTGTGATCGTCAGAGGCGAGAGGAGCTCGCATCACTGTGAGTCGCGACCGTCAGGGGCGAGAGGAGCTCGCATCACTGTGAGTCGCGATCGCCAGGGGCGAGAGCAGCTCGCATCACTGTGAGTCGCGACCATCAGGGGCGAGAGGAGCTCGCATCACAGTGAATCGCGACCGTCAGAGGCGAGAGGAGCTCGCATCACTGTGAGTCGCGACCGTCAGGGGCGAGAGGAGCTCGCATCACTGTGAGTCGCGACCGTCAGGGGCGAGAGGAGCTCGCATCACTGTGAGTCGCGATCGCCAGGGGCGAGACGAACTCGCATCACTGTGAGTCGGTCTAACTGTCACCACTCCAAAGAGTCGCACTGTCATTCATGTGGCTGCTCCATTCAGAGAGAGGCAGAACTCTACGAATTTTGCCTGGACTTTATTGTTGTTATTTTATTTGCAAAGAACGGGCTGCTGTTGAATAGACGTTTCGCTCCAACGAGCCACACAGTGAGAGCCAAATTGAACCACCGAGAAGTGACACACAATGCTTTAAAATCGCTGTCTTTCCTGCCGGCAGATTGTTCTCGATTCGCTAGCAAATGTGAATCCTGTCGGACAAAAATTGTTTTATGCAGCACTAGGTGTGTCACGTTTCTGACACATCTTTTGTCGACGACAAACATCTAGTCGTGTCGTCGTTTGGTACAGGGCGGAATGATTGTGATATCACAGCGAGCCTCTCCTTCATTGACCGCGGAGTGATATCACAGCGGGCCTCCCCCTCATTGACAGCGGAGTGGTCTCACAGAGAGCCTCCTTCTCATTGACAGCGGAGCGATATCATGGCGAGCCTCCTTCTCATTGACCGTATGTCTGGCTGACAGAGGATCTAACGGGCTCAGTTCGAGACTACGCCGGTCCCAGCAATACACTAAACCCAGTCCTTTCCCAGTGGTAGCCTTCATGTAGGACAAGCTCAAGGGCTACGTTACGCAGGATTTAAAAAAATTCCATTATGATTTGGGTTCAATCAGAAATGATAGTTATGCGATTGCCCCTTGCCCCAAAGAACAGATTTAAGGTTTTACCCGACGGTAGGGCCAAACGCGGTCTTCGCGCTTGACAGCAATCATCATGGGCCGCAGGTACCTGCCGCTTCGGCTGCATCCAAGACCCGGGCTGCTTCGGCTACGCCCACAGGAGCGATGACCAGAGTTGCCAACGGCTAAGCCAGATTCCCTCCAATGCCAATACCGCCTCCACGGGACCGACGGAGACCGGCTGGGCCATCTTTGGACGCCGCGGCTACAGTGAGTGACCCGTCCCGGACGCGTCGGCCCTGACAGAGATTCTCTTCCAAAAGCTGCTGGGAGTGGTGCACCGAAAGAGTTTTGCACTTTCTCTTCGGCCATGAATTTGCTGTCTAAAATACTCTCACAATATAAAGCACCACTGGGTAATGCTCGTTTTCCATAGCGTCTATGTTAAGGGATACTATTTACATGTTAATGAATTACATTGACCTTGTCTTAAATCCTTTACGTTGAGAGCAGCGGCAGACCAGGCCCTTTCCGCTTCTTGTCATGCCACGCATAAAACCTTTCGCCGACGTGATACGTGATGATCAAATCGTGGTGGCAGTTACTTTCAAATAATGATTACATGAGAGCTACGGGAGGCAGTGACGGTTGTTGAAATTCGGCTAGATTCCTCGTCCTAATCAAAGAATAACAGCCTGTGGTTAAAGAAAATTTTCACATTTCAGGGTACTGAAGCAAGCATCAGATAAAATGAAACAAGCCCACTTAGAACTATTGGTATGATTTTTAGGTTGGAAATACTACTCAAGACAGCACAATTGTCTGTTAAGTAAATATGCTCCTCAATGCTTCACAGCTTGATTACGTCATGGTAACTTGCACAACATCGATTGAGAGCCGAATGACGGCCGTTATATCTGGAAACAGCGCTCACGAACGCTAGATATGAACGCCTAGACAATTGCCTTTTTTGGCATGGATCGCCGCATGATTTTTCGAATGGCGAGATATGAATGACGTCATTATGGCATCATAAATACCAAGGCGATTTTCAAATACTCTCCCCGATATACCTTTCCCCTTTGCGCGGGCGTGTAGCTCGGAAACTAGAGAGCTTAGGTCATAAGAAAGGCGGGATTCTGAACAGCATCCAAAGGTCTTCAAGATGACTATTTCAGTTTAAAATCCCATATTGGTGTGGCACAATAC